CCCCACCCCCGAAATAGACGAGACAGGAGCAGAAGATGGTTCTTAAAGAGACAGAGGCCAATTTCAAGGCATTGATATGTTGATATAAATGATGAGAAGATAAGTTCATTTCCTATTTAAACATGAAAACATCATTTTAATAACAACTAAAGCTGACATAGATACTTTATTATGGTATAGTATTTAAATGTATGCCTGAGAAACATAATATTGCCCCTTTAAGGCCCATCAGGCTGAGAGTGCTCGTGTCAAGTTGGCAGACAGTGTAGGCAGGTGAGTCTCCAAACGTCTCCTGATGTTTGCAGTTTATTGGTCCAAATCTGCCTTTCTTTTCTCTTTAAGTCCAGTAGATCCGCACGGACATGTAGTGACAAAGGGCAACAAAACAACATGCACAACCCAGAATACAATTTTGCAATCAGCACAAACAAAAATAGGCCATGATTCTTAAAAACCGGCTGCATAAAACACGACTGCACGGCTCACTGGTATATTTCAATGCTAAGCTATATGCTGTTTTAAGCGGTGTATGTGCTTTCCAATGTTTTCTTCTCTTTACAACACGTATTAATGTAAAGTACTGCTGTTAATCATGAAGGGCTGCACGGAGCGCTTCGTCACCAGTCCAGAGGAAGTGATGGATGTGATAGATGAGGGGAAGGCCAACCGTCACGTCGCTGTCACCAGTGAGTCGCTTCGTTGATCTTCCTGATGGTCCGACACTCATACTGTCAAATACTTCATGTTAAAATATTTCCACACGGGGAAAATAAATAAATAAATAAACATGGATCCAGACTCAAAAAGCTTCCTTCTGTTAGTGGAGATTAAAGAATTAAATGTTATTTTAAATACAGACTGTCATCACCTTTGTTCATTTTTCACCCTAGACATGAATGAGCACAGTTCTCGCAGTCACAGCATCTTCCTGATCAGCATCAAACAGGAAAACGTGGAGACGGAGCAGAAGCTGAGCGGGAAGCTGTATCTGGTTGACTTAGCTGGAAGTGAGAAGGTAAGAAAAAAAAAGAGCACAGTATTTGATGTTGATGGGATTTTGATACTAGATTTTCAATCTAAGATGTATTTTTAGATGATAGAAAAGCAGGTAAACAACTTTTGAACCACGTGCCTCATGCCACTGAACTGGATTCATGTTTTAGTGACAAAGGACTGAGGATATTTTGGGGATTAGTGTGTTTTCAGTTGGTTTTATTAAAAATTGCAAGAAGAACTAACCTAAAAATAATGCAACAACAGAAAAAAAAACCGTCAATCGCTAAAGTTAATTTAAGGTAATTACAGCATGACAAACATCATGAGTGGCTATAAAATAGTAAACATATTTTTAGTATACATTATATTTTACACATTTGTTTTCAAGGTTATTTTGAAGGGAATCTGAGCCAGTCTCTCTCTGGAGTGGCTGATACATTAGAGAGGCATCTTTCACATCTTTTTGCTCTTGGATAAAGTCTTCAGTCAGAAGCAGTAATGGAAAAATCTGGAATAGTGCGCCCTGAGAGCAGCAGAGGGCTGTATACTCTGGACAGATGCTGACGGCTCAGGTTTGTTGCTATTAAGTGCTGATGGTGCATCTGTAAGTTGTCTTGGGGGACAATGAAGTGGTTCATTTCTAGCAACATCTCATGTTTCGGTACAAAGTTTTGGCTCGACGTAAACAGAAAAATGTTTTTAAAAAAGGCTTTGATGGGACAGCTTACTCTCTGCTATAATTAAAATCCCTTTAATCTCGCTGTAATTGGATCCCGTGATGATTATGACCCTGAACGGATTGCCTTTCTTGTTAAAACGGACTCTCTGGGAGAAATTTTCATCAAATCTGACTGCATCTCTGTTTACTCTGTACAAAATAATTTAGCGTGTCTATAAATGTTATTCATGCAAATTTAAACAAAAACGTTGAATTTGTCTTTTAAAACAGGTTTATTTATTTATAACTTGTTTAATAACCTTAGTGTATTTTCTATTAAACAGTATTCTGTCTAATACACGTTTTGCATGTTTACTTCCTGCTCTTTGTAGCAGTTAACTGTAACTACTCAGTGCCAGTGAACCTAAGAATTTACAACCATGTGTTGCTTTCTTTTAATCAGTGCATTTATGCTTTAAATTACAATGAATAAATAGAAATTATCAATATAATGTTATTCAAACAAAAACAGATGTGTAAAATAATACAACAATAAAGCATTTTGTATATAAATAAAGATGGCTACTCTCTGATCCTCTCCATCTGTTCCGGTGGTTTGGACGCTGAGCCATGATTTTGTTTCCTTTAATGGAAGCAGGATCAGAGGATCTGAGTGACCTTCATCTACTAGAAGAACATCTGAGCAGCAATTCTGAAAGGAGGCCTTGTGATGCTTTTATAAACAAACAAAATAATTTAAATATCAAAGCAAAACTTAGCATTGAGGATGAGTGGTTTTAGGTGACTGTGCATGTTGTCTCCTTCCTCCTAAAGGCTCCTGATGCTGACTTATGTTTCTCTCTTGCTCAGAGAGATAAAAGGTTTATACCTTGTTAGTCGTCATCCCGTTTTCATGACACCCTTCCCCCGAGCCTTGGAAATTACACTTAAATAATGAAGTAAATTCTCTCATCTTTGTGTATTTGTGTCAGGTCAGTAAGACGGGAGCAGAGGGAGCAGTGCTGGATGAGGCCAAGAACATCAACAAGTCTCTGTCAGCGCTGGGGAATGTCATTTCAGCTTTGGCTGAAGGAACGGTACAGTGGGGGGAAAAAAAAGTTCTGCAGTCCTTTTAATCTGTCAGAAGCTGCCCGAGGCTGGCTTTCTTCGTTATTTGTCTTAAACAGAGAGCTCGTGCTTGTTATCAGAATGATGTGTCCTCGCTGCAGTGATTGAGCCAGAAGTGTTAGAGCAACGCAAATACAGTAGAGTTTAACATCGATTACATCACCAGTGCTGTAAATCCAGTCAGTGTCACAGAAAAAGCATTAGCCCTACTTAAAATAAATGCTTTGCTCTTAAATTTATTTAAATATCACAGCATTTATGTCTAATATTTTCAATGTTGTCTTACCTTGAGGTAAAATAGTTCAACATAAAAACAAAAAGAGGCTTAAAACTAATTCATGTCAAAAGGTCTTTAATCGTGTCACTGAGATTGCAAAGCGAACGGCAAAGATTAAGTAAGCTAGATGAAATATTAAAGGGTCCGTATTTTATTTAACACAGCTGTAATCTTTAACGTTTCGTGCATGAACATAAAATGAAAAAGATATGTAAAAATTTTAGCGCCAGGAGTGGAAAATTGGGACTTTTGACTCCCAGGTTGAACCAGTGACACATTAGTTGACTTTCTGCCCTTTTCATCAATAATTGTCTGCGCTGTGGCAGCTGGTAATATGATCCGTTTGACCCACATGCTGTGGTCCTCCGAAGCCCCATCATCATAATTAGAACATTTAACATCTCCTCTTATATAAAGCCCAGAGAACTCCTCATAAACCTAACGGAAAGGCTGACAGAATGTAAAAGCCTCACCGATGTGTTGGAAATATGCTGGTATTCATTCCTTATTCGCCGATCAAGGCCGCTCTCTTTATAAGTACATTTCAGAGGTTAAACTAATAATTCTGCCAATGATGTGGCAGAAATGGAGCAATCTTTTCTTTTATTCCTCTCCGCCGCTGCTAACGACGCAGGTTTCAAAGCGAGGCATGGTGGAGCAGTGATTCAGAAAGTCTTTGAGCCTTATAATCTTCTCCTCTGTCTTTTCTTGACGCCTTGATTTTTTTTTTCTCTTGCCATCTTGAAATCTCTTTCTTTTCCCTTTTTGCAGAAGTCCCATGTGCCGTACCGTGACAGCAAAATGACTCGCATCCTTCAGGACTCGCTTGGCGGGAACTGTCGCACCACCATGTTCATCTGTTGCTCCCCCTCCAGCTACAACGACACAGAGACCAAATCCACGCTGATGTTTGGCCAGCGGTAAGACGGATCTGTGTGGAAACTGCGACAAACGTCTCACTCAGCTGCTCCGGCTGGTTTACAATTACTCCGACCCACTCACAGCTGTGGTTTCACTTTCCAGCTTTCAGTGTTTCTTACTTAAAGGGATCCCTGATTAGTTGTAACATTAGACTTTATTTAATAAGCATATATTTTAACTGTAAAATAAAAACTGTAAAAATACTGTAGGCTGTTTAGTTTTTATGATTTTTGAACTAAAAGTTTAAAAATATATTACACGGACGGGGCCATTTTATTTACACGCAAAGCATGATAGGTCCTCAGTGCGAGGCTGCTAGCGAGCTATATCCACCCTGAAGGTTAATCTTGGACAATATCTGATGATCGACTCTTTTAAATGAAACCAGAGAGCGTTGACAGAGAGCATCGGGGCTAACGCTAAAGCTAACAGGCTAAGCTGAGGTTCTTCTTCCATGAAGCAGCTCTGTTGTCCTCCATCCATATTTTCAGTTACAAGCTGAGTCATTTCTACCTTCTCCTCTCTGTCAACGCTCTCTGGTTTCATTTAAAAGAGTCGATCGTCAGATATTGTCCAAGATTAACCTTCAGGGTGGATATAGCTCGCTCACACCGATGACCTAGTTGATGTCATCATTTACCCAGAATGCTTTGTGTGTAAATAAAATGGCCCCGTACATGTTAAAATATGTTTTTAAAAATTATAAAAACTAAACAGCCTACAGTATTTTTACAGTCTTTATTTTACAGTTAAAATATATGTTTGTCAAATAAAGTCTACCGTTACAACTAATCAGGGATCCCTTTAAAGAAACTCACAGACAGATGATAGTTTTGTTTCACTTGCTATGAATGTTGGACATGAACATCAAGTTACAAAATAAAGGGCATGACACATTTTAATCTTATTAGAGTTAACTGTTTGTGTTTGCGTTATTTGTAGATGTTTACAATGCAGCACATAAATGATGACAACCAATTTGCTCCACAAAAACATTGATGTTTGATTGTTCTGCTGTACAAACATTTCATCTAAAGTCTAATTTGATTAGAAATGTTCAGATTAGGGTATTTGTCTCACTGGTATCGGGAGTTTCTTGTTTAAGAACATTGTGTTCCTTCAGCGAAGTGTGAAATTAAGTAACAGACACTAAGCACTATAGCTTCATTACAATGAGTGCCTCTATTCAGCGGTGCTAAGAGCAGAATAAGATACTCCATCATCTTAGAATTTGTACAAACGTTGTGTTTCTGTATGATTCTTTTTCACAGTCTGGGGCTGCTGTGCCCTCCTCCTTTGTGCCGTCAAACTCTGTTTGCAGAAAAACCCAATTTGCATACCAATTAATGAGATGCAAGACCATTTTCAATGAGCAGCCAGAGCCTGAGCGCCCATCAGTTTCTCTGTTCCCCCTCACACTTGCCTCTTTTTGTCCCCCTCTCCTGTATCTTTTCTCGTCACCCTTCCTACCTTTCCATCCCGATCTGTCACGCTCGCTCCGTCTTCCCTCCTGCCGTCTCCCTCCAATTAGAGCCAAGACCATTAGAAACACCGTCACGGTGAATCTGGAGCTCACAGCAGAGCAGTGGAAGAAGAAGTACGAGAAGGAGAAGGAGAAGAACAGGTCGATGAAGGAGACAATCCAGCAACTTGAAGCTGAACTGACCTGCTGGAGGAACGGTAATGTGTGGCACTTACCCTGCCACTTTACATGCAATTATCATCTCCGTCCAGGATAGTGGCAGCTGTGCTAAATGTCAAGTCCAGTCCGGTTCAAACTCCTAGATATATCACTGTGAAACTGCACCGAATACAAAAAACATAAAAATAAATAAAAAAGGAAGCATGAAATGCCACGCACACTTTAGCCACAGTAATTTGTTTTCTCAGAATGTTGGAAAGCCACGGGGTCAGAGTGCAGTTTAAGCTGCAGTGCGGCGTCCCTGCAGCAGATGGGTGCCTTGCTTTTAGGTCAAACTGTTAGATTTTGTCTTCGCTAAGACTTAAACCCGTGAACAAGAGCCTTAAATGTTAACACATCGCTGCCCTCAGTTCTTGATCTCTAGACGGTCAGTTAAAATGGCAAAAAGTGATTTTTCCCTCCGCTCGGTTTGAAGAAATAAAAAAACAGAGCTGTTTTGTGTTACTGTAACAAACACATTACACATTTTTTATCTCTTCATTTATTTATGTGTTTACACATAGCCTGAGGATCCACGAGTAAAAAGTAAAAAACTAAGAATATTACTGATACTATTGAAAGATATAGTGCAGTGCTTGTCAGTAAAAACCTGTGTCAAACAGTTCATTCAAACCACAGTGCACCCCGCCCCCCAGTCCTTTTTTATGGGTGACGTTTTCTAAGAGAAATGAATTTTTCAGCAGCCTGCAGACATTACTTTTCATTCCACATCGATGCAGACTTTACCTTCTTTGATCCAATCTGAAAACCTGTCAGCAGAGATATACAGTAGGAGGAAAAGGCAGCCAAACGGACTAACTGGACTTGTGCCCAAAACACATAAATACTGCTTTCCTTCTATCTATATGTGTTTTTTTTATATCAGACTTTTGTATAATCCACTTTGTATAATTGGATTTCCCATCTCATACTGACAAAAAGTCAGCATGTCAGAATTTATGTTCTGTGAATCTTCATGTTTTATCACACCAGCGAGGGTGCTTCACATGTAAAGAAAAGTCATTACATAAAGTGGTTTTGTCACACGTCAGCTCACAGACCGAGTGCTCACGAGAAACAAGTGTTACTTTTTACTAATTCACTCTCATGCACTTAGATCTGTTTTCATCTGCTGGACCGTTCAAATGTCAGGACGCTCAGTGGCTGTGATCAGTTGACATTCAAATCATGAATCAAAATTGCCCTTTGTTTCCCTTGAAGACAGATCCCTCAACAACTGACCTGAATGTAAATGCCCAGTAAGCGCACCTTTTATTGAGAGTCCATCAGTAGAAATCTTTTTATTTTTTCATTGCACAAGCCTGTTTCCCAACTCCAGCCTTTCTTTTCCTCTGTTGTGCTCAGATTTTTATGCTTTTCCTTCCTTGGCAGATCAATTTGATGGCATCCTCGCCCCAGTTTCCCCCCTCGCTCGTCTCTCCATCGCAGTCCATCTCAGAAAATCCCCGAGGTGGACGCTGTTGACCTCCATCCTGTTTTACATTACCGAGCTCTTTAGTCAAGTCTGGCCCCAAAGTAAATAACCGTCTCGTGTAGAGATTCCTGCTCGATGGGTATTTTTATGCTCTCCAAGGCAGATCCTCTGCCAAAGAGCAGAGAGGATTTATATTTATTTGAATTCATTTTCATGCAACACAAGGAGCACTTTATAAAATGGGAAACAAGTATTAAGTGAGCCTATTCAGTCTAAATCAATTCATCTCAGTTCAGTGTCATTATAAGTTTCTAAAATCGATTTGTAAACCAGTTTAGCTGAGCTAAAGAAACCAACAGATTGCATCATCGCTTTGATTTGAGTCACTGTAAAAACATAAGCTTCCTAAAGGGTGAGCTGTAAGATGTAAAATTAAAAAACAGAAAGGAGTGCGACTTCATGAAGCTGTGTATAAATAGCTCTCCACTTCAAGTCCGCTAAAATGCTCAAAGTGACAGGAGCTAAACCGGCTTGCTTCAGACAGCCAGGGGCTGCAGAAATGACGAGGATCTGGACTGTGAATCACAAAACGTCACTCAGAACAGGACAGAAATATACAGCTGGAAAGTTGGTCCCCTTTTACCAACATAAATAATACAAACCTACTGACTTTAGACTCCACTGGAGGTTTTTATTGACGTGGACTTATCCTGCGGGTCCCAATTTAGAGATAATCTAAATTCTTCCGGTGTTAATATGGTACTTGAACTCTGAAAATTGCAGTCCCCCATATCTTATTAAAGTGTTCACGTCCCTATATTTAGAGACAAATCATAAACCTTTTTTTAATGCTGATTAAGTGAGAAAAGCTTTAAAAAAATCTAATCTAGAGTCACTACCCAGGCCAACTTCTTTTTAATGTGCTTTTTATGCCATTTTATTTTCAAACCACAACATAAGACTTCTTAGGGAAGCGCTACAAAGAATCATTATAGTTTTTCTGTAAACAAGTACGTTTGTACATTCTTACAGTGATCAGCTAGATTTTAAAAGCTCACATTAAAACATTTAACTATAGAGTTCTGCATTAATGAATGCTCACAGTGTTGGAAAAGATGCCTGTCTCAGACCTGATCATTAAAGGCATTAAAGAGTAAGTAAAGGACATGTGAAGTTAAAACTATAATCCTGTTTCACGCAACAATCCTTGGAGATGCATTTGCTTAAGTCAAGGGCAACACGTTGACAGAAAATTTCATTTAATTTCTGTTTGTTTTTTTAGGTGAGAATATTGCCGTGCTGGGGCACCTGAGTGAAGAATCAGAGGACACCCCCTTCGCTTCTCCAGATTCTGAGGAGTTGCCCCTTGATTTGAGCCCCTGCACCCCGTGCACCCCCTGCAGCCCCTGCTCCATCGCCTCCTCCATCGTGGTCCACATCTCCGAGGAAGAGCGGCACAAGTACGAGGAGGAGATCCGCAAGCTTTACAAACAGCTGGATGAGAAGGTGACGACTGTAAATGAATGTGGAGCTGATTGCGCACCACGGCTGGGATTTCAGTTGCAGCAGCGTGCACACATGAATACAAAGAGTTTATTAAACATGTATTATTCATGGCATCTTTTAGTAAGAGACTAATGTTACTGTAGCACTCCTTAGGAAGGGATATCACCAGGGAAAGAGCTGTTTCACTTTGACACAACAACACTTTATTATATTTAATATGTTATCATCTTTGAATGCAATTATTGAACTATATTGTTGCAATTACAGCGGTTTTATCATTTGACTTTTAATTGTAAAGATGCGGAAACAGCATGTATACAATACTTTTTTGTATTCCTGAGTATAATATAAATCAAAACAATCCTGTTTTATTAAATAAAAGTCTAGGTGTGAGTGTGCATCATAAAGACAGTTTTATTTGGTGCAGTTTTTTTTTACATACATTTATACTGGGGGTGCAAATCAGCAGCTTTATCATGATAGTACAGGGCTATACAACCGGCGGCCCATGGGCCACATCTGGCCCTTGGGTGACTTCCATCTGGCCCACCCCAAACTTAAAAAAATAAAATGAAATGCAAATAACATTTTTACTTAATTTAATATAAAAATAGATTTCAAATCAATTGTAAATTAAAAAATATTTCAATACGACAAAATAAACAAATTTAGAAGGTAAAAGATAATACTTGTTCAGTTACATGCTACCTTTAATGGGCAATCTTCTCCCAACACACACACACGCACAGTAAAAAATAAATATAATACAAATTTTATATATATATATATAATGTACAGCCTCAAGCTGTTGGCTCTGAAGAACCACGTCCCCCCAGATCATTACAGTTGAACAGCCCGTCGATAGTATATTATATTGATTTGTTTGGATGACGATGTGATCACAAATCACAAAGTTTGTCACAATACAATTTTGATTCAGTTCAGTTCACGTCTGCACTCAATATGATGCAATATCATGTGCCCATCTAACCAAATCATTTAAGGTTGTAAGGACACATGGTATGGATCCACATCAGGCATATGACAACAATATGGATCAATATTTTCATTTTGCTTTGATGTAACTGAATCTAATCATTTAACCTATATATTGATTGATGTGTTGTTATGTGACACCTTTTATACTGTAATTATGTTAGATGTTACACAAAGCATTTCTTGTCTGCTTTTTATTGGCTTACACATGACTTTTCTAAAGACAAGCAGTGATCATGTTTTTAGTTATATTTTTTGTGTGAGAGTGTTTGTAGCAACACATCTCATCATGAACCACATTTTGTTTCTCTTCTTGTAATCAAAGCATCAAATGATGCGTGTGGATTTTAGCATAACCTCACCTGAAACGTACGGATCAGGCTCTAAACTCTGATGTGTTGATCTGATTAAAACCAGTGTTTATACAGCATCTTAATGTGTGTGTTCCACTGAAGGATGATGAGATCAACCACCAGAGCCAGATGGTGGAGAAGCTGAAGGAGCAGATGCTTGACCAGGAGGAGGTAAAAGATCTTGGTTTTACATCCTTTCATCAGTTTGGTTAAATGGCTCACAGTGGGCTGCGGTTCCTGTAAATGTGCCAGCAGTAAATAGAAGTCAGCTGTAGGAGGTTTACTGTCCTGCCCTTCAGATGAATGCGACGGGGGAAAAAAAAACTCTTTTCAGGTGCCAAAGAAGCCTCTGAGTAAATTTATTGGTCGTCGCTCGTTTGAAAGTGCATTTACGTTAAAAGCTGTTTAAAAAACACTATATTTCAGTCGCTGCTTTGGCACGACTTGTTCAAAGAGGAATCAATGATGGAAAGAAAAAAAAAGAACTAAATGATGTACCTGTGATTGTTTATTTCTTCTTTTCTTTTCGGCATCATAACTCATTGGTTGCGAAGCAAACAATCAAATATTCTCTTGTGATTTAATACATTTAGGATTAAGGAGAAATGGTTAAGACCACTTTATTAGCCAAGCGAGCGACAAATTTATTCGATGCTTACGGGGAAAACGGCGCTTTAATGACTCAATAAAAAGGTAATAACAGAAGTGTTTTAAAGGAAGTATTCATCACAGAAATGACACAGACACAAAAATGGGTTTTGGCATGTATTGAAGCTGCAAAACAGGAGTTTACATGTGCTAAATTTGTCCATTTGTATCCCATAATGCTCCTGCTGTGGGTTGGGCTGACATTATCGTAGCCAGACCACAGATTGTGTCTTGTTGCGAACATTTGTTCAAGTGAACCTCAGTGAGCTGCAGCAGGAGAGCTAATACAGTGGAAGCAAAATAAAATCTGCTGTTAACACAGCTTTTGATTTTCTATGATAAATATTTAAAAATGTTTTGCTTGTTTTGTTAGCATCCGTGTTGTGCTCTCTGTAGGAGATCATTATTGAAACATTTTCCTCTGGAAACATAAAAGGTGCTCCTTTACAGTTGACTTTTTGCTCCATCTCTTTGTACCAAATCGTTTTGTTTACAGCTTTTGTATTCAGCTGAATCTGTTGTTTATTCCCCCCAGCTTTTAGCATCATCCAGGGGAGACAGCGAGCGGGTGCAGTCAGAGCTCTGCAGGCTGCAGACAGAAAATGAATCTGCTAAAGCTGAGGTGAAGGAGGTACTTCAGGCGCTGGAGGAGTTGGCGCTAAACTACGACCAGAAGAGCCTGGAGGTCGAGGAGAAAAGCATCCAGAACAAGCTCCTGGCTGAGGAACTCACAAAAAAGATGGTGAGTCCGACTTTCAAAGGGCTTGCTGTGATTGTGTCTCACAGCAAAGCTTCATAAATTGCACACTGAAGTAGATTTAGTGAAAAGGGAGGAGATTTGCAGGAGGATTTGTAGAAAAGAAATTAAATGCATTTGTTGTAAGCTTCTTGTTGAAAACAAAATATTAGAATTACTTACTGTGAAAGTATTTTGAGCAGTGAATCTTTACTGAAACCTAATGAAGCTGAAACTAATTACTAAAAAAGCTAAGCTGAAGCGAATATTAACAAACCAGAAATTAGCAGAACTAAAAGCTAAAACTAGCAAAGCTAAAATGAATAAGCAGAAAAACTGTAGCTAAAAGACACAATTTATTTACTGTTCTTTAACCAGGGAAATCCTGAGATGTCTTTTTCAAGGGAGGCCTGGGCCTGAAGACAATCTAGTGTACATATTTTTTTGCTGTGGGGGTAACCAGAGTATTCGGGGAAAACCCACGCAAGCACAAGGAGAACATGCAAACTCCAACCCCAGTCTGAACCGGGGATCAAACCCAGGACCTTCCTGCTGTGCGGCATCAGTGCTAACCACTGATCCATCATGCTGCCCAAATCTGCAAACTTGTATCTACTTAAAATCATTAATCGCAAAACCAAAGTTAAATGCTACAATTAGCAAAACAGTAGCTAAATGGAACATAAGGAATTGAAAATAATGCATTTCTGTAGAGAAAAACTTTAAAAATAAAGCCCAATATTTAAAAAATAAGTAACTAAAACCTAGCACCGTTTTCCTGAATGAGCTGAAAGTTTTGGTATGATTAAAACAACTCAAAGTATTCAGAAGTAGTCTGATTGCAAAAATGTTACATTAAAACCAAAGCATTAAAGAGCTTTTGTTCGCACTCATACACTGATAAGCAGTGGTGAGCACAGTTCCCCTAAATCACTAAAGCACTAATAGGGGGACTAATTTCCTGAATAGCGCTTTAGGGATTTTGCTAATTTTAAAATGTATTACTGGATTAGCACTTGCTAAATTTATAGGTTAAATTTACAAGCACTAACTGAGGTCTATAAATGTTATTAATCAACGTTAATGTTAACAGCTGATGGTGAAAGCTGTTGCATATTTTGTTCATTTGTGTCACTTATCCATTAGTTGACAATATATTAACAATAAATGAACACAAATACAGCTGAGGAATGTCAGTGATAAGTCTTAAGAGAGCAACATGTGACTCGTGTTGTCTGTTGAAGAATGTTCATGGGTTGACTGGGTTATTTTAGTGCTTTAGAATTAGCATTTGCTAAACTTTTCAGTGCGTTAGTGCTTTAGAATTAGGGGACCTGTATATCTGAGTTAGTGATTTAGGGCTAGTGGAACTAATTTTTACATTAGTGCTGCCCACAACTGCAGATTGATAAGCACATTGATAAGCACTGAGGTACAGAACGGCTTCTAAATTCACTTGGACATGAGGACGACCCCCCCAACCCATATGGGCCGAGCCCCTTGTGGGGAGGTCGACTCAGCGTTCACACAATCAGATTTACTGAAGAATCTAGATTTAATTCAATCATCCATACATTTATTACATGCTGCATCCCGTTCAGGGTTATGGGGATCTGGTGCCGACGTTCGACAGCACAAATGAAACAGACAATCATTCACTTCCTCGTTTACACCCACTGACTTTTGAGAGTAGCTAATAAACCCAACATGCGTGTGTTTGGTTGGTGAGAAAACCCCATGTGTGCATGGGAAGAGCACATGGAAAGCTCCAGCTGGGAGTCAAATCTGTGGCCTTGTTGCTGCAATGCAACAGCACTGAACATTTATTCCACTGAGAAGTCCTATAAGAGATACATTTTTACAAACGGTTCTGCCAGCAGCTGTGGACTGATTGGTGTTAAGCAATAAAAACAAAAAAATACTTTGAGAGGTGGCAGCAATCCCAACAGTCAGAAGAGGCTGTAAGAGGATCCAGCTCACTTGACTCTACTTGACACGTTTAGATGATGTAGTTAATAAAGTCTTATTAGTAGTCTGATCCATGTTACGACTTTTTACAGAGTAACCAGCTGCTGCAAATGTACCGTGGAGGTAGATTAAACTGGAAGTAATGCTGACTCAGAAACTGATTAAAGGAGCGGACAATTAAACTACTTACTGCGCTCTTCAATTTGCTGAACTCAGCCGACCCCGGATTTCTTCCCCATCGTTTCACTCAACAGCTCTTCTTCTCTTTGAGTCCGTTCCGCCCGCACTTCTCACCTGACAGGATCTTCCTCAGCGGCGCCATCTGGCACGTTGACAAAATGAGAAACAAAATACAAACAAGAATCCAATATGAGTCGATACAAGAAAAGTGATGGAGCAATAATCGCATTACTGCAGCTTCACGGGGCTTTTCCTGCAGCTTCATCCTTTATCATTGTAACCTCTTTTTTTTCACTTTCTGCATTCCAGTGGTTGTGATTGGTGTTGTACTTTTCACTTTTTTATATATATATCTACAGTAGAAATGTTGCAGCACTCTCTCAGAGAAAAACAGTGCATTGAAGTCCATTCATCAATGGACTGTCTTCTCTGTGTTCTTCTCTTTTATTTTCAGTAACTCCTCTCGTCTTCAGCAGGAAGCTGTGCCATCACTCACTGTCACTGTCATTCGTCTGCTCCTTCTAGCACCTTCTACCATCCATCTGGCCTCTCAAACCCCAGTTTTTAATCATTTTGATTAACAGCGTTCATCATTTCAACTGTCTTCTCTGGAATACGTCTTCATAAATTTTCTTGATCAAAAATAAACATTTTACTGACCTTACACTGCCAGCCTTTTTACTTTAAAGAAATTAATTGAAGCTGATATATTGCTGTTGCTTTTAAGTTAACTGGAGAAGTTGCATAAAACAGATATGTAACAGAGCTTTAAGATAATGAAAAATAGGTAAATGAAATGAGAAACTACAGTTGTTTGGTGATATTTTTGTACTTTATGTTAATAAAGGATATGATGGGTTGTTTATTACTTGCACATTCCTTTCATCTGTGATTGATCCTCTTTCTTCTCTCAGTCCCTCTTTTTTTTGCCTCGTTTTCTCCTCAAACAGACTCACCTCATGGCTTTAGAAGCAGAGCTGTCTCGTATCCAGGAGGTGAGCAGCCACCAAAGGAAACGCATTGCTGAAGTTCTGAACGTGCTCATGAGGGACCTGCGAGAGTTCAGCACCATAGTTGGAAACAGAGAAATCAAGCTGGTAAGTAAGGAAAAGAAACAGATTCAGAGTCACTATACATTATAGTGTACAGTAACAAAGTACATTTACTTTTTTACACTAGGTTGAGGATCGGTAATTTTAAGTATCTTTTTAAAAAACTTTTACTAGTATTTTGTTACATTCAAAAACATAATATATGTGACCCATCACATCAAACGAGGATTAAGTCTAAAAGTGGTATTTAGAGAAATAGGCAAATATACTGTTTTGATTAAAATGTTAACAAAAATTGCATTTTGTCAAAATATAATGAATAAATGCCTTATCAATGTATCATTTGAATGAAATGTCTGAAATATGATCATAAAACTAAATTTTGAAGCACTTTTTTGAGCAGTAGCAACAAAAAACCTGATTATGAGGAAAAAATGCCATAAATTTTGAGATTTTACCTCTGAGCTAGCAAAGTTTTGTTTCTTTCCAGCTGGGAAATBTCAATATTCAAATAWARTTTGAGGTTTCCTCTTTATAATACATCAAAAATTCCTCATTAAAATTACATAAAATTAGGATTCAGTCCAAATATTTATGTAATATTGTAACCATCAAGACAAATTAAGTCATTTATATGGATTTACTTATGATATCAGAATGATCCAGGTGTCAAAATGTTGCTTTTAAAGCCAAGAATCTGAAAATGTAATTAGGTCATTTTGACCAAATTTGACTTAATCCTCATTTCGATGTGATGGGTCACATATATACTTCCACAGCTTTACTTCAAGATTTAACACCTTATGTTAAAAATTTAAATATGACCGAAACTCACCATGAAAGGAGTTTTATGTGCTCTAAAAACTCAAGTATTGAATTTACTTAACCAAGTTATGTCAACTGGTTCCACTAAACTGAGCAAATTCAGCAATTTACACATTTTTCTTAAAGAAAATGTACAGATTGCTTTATATTTACTCAAATTGTCTTAGTGGAACCAGTTGACATAACTTGGTTAAGTAAATTCAATACTTCATTTTTTTAGAGTGTGTGTACTTTTACTTTCCGAATCACTGTGAGCAGTTTTATGACTTTTACTTAGTACTTTCCTATGCGTGAAAATTTTGATGTTAAGGTATTTTTACTTTTACTTTATTTTTGCCAAGTACTTTATACACATCTGAGGTTATAGAAGCAAAATCTTTAGAATTTTTCCTTTTTTGTCTTCCTTGTAAAGTTTTTATTGTAATTCTCCAAAATAGTTTACAGTCATTTACTTTAACATCATTTATTTATATATTTAAGTTGATGTGTATGTTTCTTTCATCTTCCACAGCTCATTTTAAAACAGCTGAATCGCGGCCTCTGCTACACCTACACTTGAACAATTTACCAAAAAGTTGTTGGATTTCCCTCTTTTCCTGGCCGTCTTTAACCCGTCGCCGCTCAATCTTGATGAAACATTGACTCTTTGATTATTCTCTCCTCCTCTCTACCTCCTTCCTCTGCAGCCCCTGGAGATCAGCGGTGCGATAGAGGAGGAGTTCACAGTGGCCCGCCTCTACATCAGCAAGATAAAGTCAGAGGTGAAGTCGATGGTGAAGCGCTGCCGCCACTTGGAGAACCTCCAACTGGAGTGCCAGCGCAAGATGGAGGAGACGAGCAGGGAGCTGTCTTCGTGTCACCTCCTTGTGGCACAGGTGAGGTTTGAGACTGATGGATTGGCTGCTGTTGGTTCTGGGAAAAGGAGGTGGATGTGTACAGTAGTATTTGTCAAATACTAATGGATTGAACACAAAAAATACTGGGGAGAAAAAAAAAATTCTGTAGCAGCTCAGGGAGATGCTAGTGGAAAAACAAAAAGTCTTAATTATCCCACAAATATCCGTTTAGCACTTGTCTTTATCAGTTTATGATGTTTCAAAGTTCTTTAGTGATGCAAACTGATCTGATAAAATGTGTTTGTGGAGATTTTCAGCTTCTTCTGCTTAAAAAAACAATCTGTGCACACTCTTTTGATTCTTAATATATGATGTGTTTTATATTCTGTCTGTCTGTATGGTTGCCTGAGGCAATCATAATGTAAATTACACTATCTTCTGTGTTTAAACTGAATTCCCAATGGCTGAAAATCATGAATATTTAACGTAAAAACCACATTCTTTCAGCTTAGGAAAAAAAAGTTCCTTATCTTTGGCGTAGTGATCTCCCGGGTGGAGGCTTTTGCTCATCCTACACTGTCTGCATCCCTGATGTTGTGGCTTTCAGCACGAGGCAAAGATCCGCTCTCTGACGGCGTACATGCACAACGTGGAGCTGAAGAAGAGGCAGCTGGAGGACAGCTACGACTCCGTGACCGAGGAGCTGGCCAAACTACAAGCTCAAGGTACGGCTGGGTAATAACTGAGGCCCAACAGCATCTCAGTTACTGCAGTTAGTCTGGGCAGCAAAAACACAGCCATTATAAAAATAAAGTTATTTCAAATGTAAATTAAAACAGAATGCAATGATTTGCAAATCTCATTAACCACATTTAATTTACATTGGATCTTAATACACTTATTATACATTTAAAGTAAAAAAAACTGAACCATTCACAGAAAAAAAGAGGTAATTTTGCATTTGATGGCAGCAACACATGTTTCCATCTCCACTTTTTTCTCCACTTTTTCACTCTGTAAATATTTAGGAACTGAGGCGACTAGTTGCAGGAAGTGATTGTTGTCCCATTCTTGTCTGATCTAGAAGTTTAGATAGAGTTGTCTTTGCTGATTTTTTTTATTTTTTCTGAATGGGAGCATATGCTTTTCTAAAACCTGAATATATTGTTCTCCATTGAAGGTAATTTTCCAAATGTGTGCACTTCCTATGCCATAGGCACTAATGCACCCCCGTACCATCAGAGAAGCAGACTTTTGAGCAGCATGCTCTTTCAATCAATCAATCAATCAATCTTTATTCCAGACACAAAAAAGGTCCATAGTAGAAAAAAAAGGTAAAAACAAAATAAGAGAAAGAATAAAAATAAACATGACATATTCACTGTCACAAATAAATGATGACGCCAATGTTTCCACAATCTTGAGAAAAATCTCACTGTACTAAAAACAGGATTTACTAAAATTGCAATTACATTATTGCATGACACAGATAACCTAGACATGCATTGATACATGAGGTTCCTGAGCACAGCTGCGCATGTGGGGACAGCATTATGTACAAACATGTGGCTAGCACTGCTCCATCTAGGCACTCTGAGTAGTAGCCTCATGCCATCATTGTATGCCACATAAAGTTTCTGCAGGSTACTTTTTTTGTATCTTCGCCACAGATGGGCCGTGTAAAGTGAAGTGCAAAAAGCTTTAAAAAGAGCTATCTTCACGGAGGATGAGCACATACCAAACTTTCTGATCAGAATATTAGCCTGTGCATACATCATACAGTACTGTCTACAGATGTCACGATCATCAGACAGGTCATCAGTTATATAGTGTCCCAAATATTTAATTTCATTGCAAATATTGAGGACAATGCCAGATAAAGAGAAKTCAGGGGTTATCAGATGCTTATCTGCTCTACTTCTAACAATCATAACATTGCTTTTCTTAGTGTTATACTTGATGTCAAAGTCATAACCATACTGGGAACAGACTCTTAGTAATTGTTGAAGGCCAGCACTATATGGGCATAAGATTACTAAATCATCTGCATACATTATGTGATTGATTATGCGGTCACCAACTACACAGCCTGTTTTACAGCAATTCAGGCGCTTTGATAGTTCATCCATGTAGATGTTAAAAAGGTAAGGGGACAGTAAACTTCCCTGCCTTACTCCGTTACCAACATTAAATGAATCAGACATTGTGTTACCCCAGTTAACATACATCGATTGATGACCATACCAGTAGACAAGAATTCTAATTAGATATTTGGGCACACCTCTGCTTTCTAACTTACAGAACAGTTTTTGGTGATTCTTTATTATGGAGGACATAGCTTTTGTGATTTCTAGGAGGACTTAAATATTTTTTTGCCTCAGTTCATTTTAAAAAAGCTTTGGTGCAGAGAAGAAAATAGTGTTTTGCAACTGGCTTGTTCTTTGCGTGTTAGAGCTTTAAATATAGCCCTTTGTTGCTCATGTCTCACGTGTTTTGAGACGTGTAGAACAAAAATCAAAATTGCTCTTTTTAAGTTTCAAACAATGTCCCATTTTCAACATTTATATGCTTACTAGATTCAACTGTGAATAAAATATGAGTTTATGAAATTTTCAAATCATTGTAATCAGTTTATATTTAAATTTTACACACGGCCTCGACTGTTGTTGTATAACGTACTACAAAGAGGTGCACTCTAATAACTGACTAGCAAAGCTTTGAGCCAAATGCAAATATTGGAAGGCTGAATGGTTAGGGGCTATTAACCTGCTTTTTCACCACCATAGCTCAGCGGGATACTCATCTGTGTGTATGTGAGGGCTATGAATATTTACAGAAATTCTTGTTAAAAGGCAGACAATAAATTCCTGCTGGATGAATGATATATTCAACCTAATGGTATTATTAAGTAGAGCATCACCCACCTGCAAATTAGTTGTATTTACCTCTAGAATAACAAATCGTCCATCTAAATGTTTCACTTCAGCCTGCTAATGCTTTGTTTCTGTTTGAGGCAACCGACTGACTGAAAGCCACAATCTACAAATCTGCTAACAAGACAGAGACGTTCTGAGACAGAGAACAGTTTGTTGTCGTGTCAAGATATCTCAATCATTTATTTATTTATTTATTTTTGAACAACTTTTTACACAATCTCGCATTCTATTTTTGTGTTACCCCCAAAATAGTATTTGTGTTTCCTCTGGCCTATGAAAAGACAATAAGCTGCTGCTGCCTGAATACAGATGGAGACAAATGCATTTAAAGAGTTGCTTCATTAACTTTCTCACTGGCTGCTGCCCAGGCTGAAAGTGTCTGTCGTTATGACTGTTGATGTGCAGCGGTGCAGCAGTTATTGTCTCTGTAGCCATGTGCATTTCCTTTTTAGTGTTTAACTCTATAAACATGCTGTGGCTGTGTTTGGGCAGGGATGGTGAGGCTCATTGAGCTTGTTGTATTCCTCAACTCATTTTGGAAGCCCTATCTAGCTGAATGTTGGCTATTTGTGTGCATGGACTGTGGACAGGCTGCAGAAATCAGACTCTGAGTGTTTAGCACAAAGGCATCACGAAAAGTTATATAATGTTTAGAACTGTCACAGCGTCTGATTGTTTCTTGTTACTGGAAGGGTATAATTGGTCTGGATTAACAAATTGTTCATTATCTTGACTGTAAACGATGCAAGAAGTGAATGAAAAACATATTTCCAAAAATACAATTATCAAAAAGTTCTAGACTAGAGGATGACAAGCTTCTGAAATATGAGTCAGGGTTTTTTAAATACAAAATCTCCAGTCCAATCAGAGCTTTTATTGCATAAACTTCAAAATAAAGGTAAACTG